GGGGGAGGTGCTGGGAAGTCCTCTGCACTGGTCACACGAGAATGCAACTGAGTGGCTTGGCACAGCGACAGCGGGTACGAGCAGGCAGCGTCTTTTGCTGCGGTTACTGGCGCTGACGAAACCACCAGGGACACGACGCAGTTTTCCCTTTTCTCAAAGTCCCCTGGGAAGTTCCACGTCGGATCGGGAAAGCAGTCACTGAGCTGAGTTTCTGACGTGCAGTGTGGACCCAAGAACCGTTTCCACCCTGCAGGGGCCGGGGCTCAGGGTGGGGGGAGGCCCGAGCACCTGACGGTGATGCCTGAAGGACAAACATCACCTCTGGGCTCATCTGACCATATCCTGTCTTTTCACTGCCCTAGTTCTAAAATCCCTGCAGTCCCAAGGCCACATCACTCCCTTCCAGGACGGCGCCCGACGGAACTGGCCACTGGGCGTCCACCTCCGGCTGGAAAGGCCCGAGACTGGCAACAGGGAGGGAGGAGCTGCTGTGTGGTGAGGACAATGTGATGAAGGGACCGCGTGGGGCTTCTCCGGGCAGGAGTCCCTCCCGAGGGAAGCGCTTCGAGGCAGTCGGGCGGGTCCTGGGCAGGTGGCATCAGGTGGCAGGTGAGGGCGACTCCGGCCCACTCTCCCTCTGATCTGTACGGCAGCGTGACCAGGACCAGCCTGGTGGCAACCAGAGCCACAGTCTGAGTGTGGACCAGCAGCCACGTGTGGGGACAGGTTCTGTGAGGCCACCCTGTCAAGGTCGCTAGGCCAGGGACAGCGGAGTGGGGGTGAGCGTGCCCAGTGACCCCATTACAGTGCCCACGGCGCTTTGTGCCGCCGCCGTGGGGCCCTGTGGCCTCCGTGTCGGGGGCAAGCCCGCCCGTCCCCTGGGAAGAGGGACAAACCGTGGAGACTTGTGGAAACGGTCATCTTCAGTGTCTTTTAAGAAGCCTGCGTGCTGACGATCTGAATTTTTCAAATTATGACAAGGACTTTAATCTTTCCACGAAAACAAACTTTTTGTGTCGTGAAGTGTTCTGACGTGGGTTTTACTGTGATCTGTGGTTTAAGACGACATGGTAAGAAGCAACAATAAAAAGTGTTCAAAAACACTTTGAACAAACCAGATTTCCAAGGCAACTTACCAAAATACTCATTCAGAAAAGCCAGCGAGGCCACGTAGCAGCCCAGGCTGAGGACCTCGGCCACCGCCATCAGCCAGTGCCACGTCCTGATGGTCAGGGCCACCATCAGGAGCTCCGTGAGGATGAGCGCCGTGAAGGAGATGGCCAGCACGTGCACAAACTCGGACTCGAACAGGAGCAGGGCCCCGTACATGAGGATGCCACCTGGAACACACAAGCGGGGGACACGCGGCTCTGATCAGGGTGCGAAACAAGTGCCGTGCAAGCCGGCGGGGCGACATCGCAGAAGCAGCACCTGACACGAGTCACACTTAAAATACGGGACTGCGTGCACCCCACACGTCGCGCTGACTGACGATTTACGGAAACTCCGGATTACGGATAAAACAACACGTGGCCCCAAGCAGAGGCGCAGGAACGTTTGCAACCTGGAGGAAAGGCCGCGTCGCCTCTCCCACCGGCAGGTCTGCTCTCGAGGGAACGCACGCGGGGTGACTTGACCGTCCGCGACCTCCCCTTTGTCGGGAGCACCCAGCCCAGGCGGCTGCCGGCTCCTCTCCACCCAAGTGAGGTTTCTCACCCTTGAAGGGAAACCACTGCGTGGGGCACACAATGTGTAGGTGCGTGTGGAGATGTTCCTGGATTAACAGTTCATTAAAAACAGGTCAGTTTTTAGGTGACGCACGCCAGTCAAAACATCAGGCCACACTGCAGCGTGCAGGGGTCCGGGGCTGCTGATGGAACTGTGACCTTCTGGAATAGAACCGAGGGGTGAGAACAGCATTGCTAGAGGACACGACGTGTCAGTCCCGGAGAGGCAGGCCCGTCTTACCTTGGTAAATGCTGATCAAAACCCAGACGAGGAAGGTCTTAAAAGACAAGGATCTCCCCTAGAGGTAAACAGTGGAATATCTTAGTTAACAGAGCGGAACACGCGTGACACACAGATTTTCAAACAGCCAGGAATGAGCACAAATGCTAAAAGGCCCCCGAGGCCCAACCCCCCCGCCCCCCACAACCTGCCTGCGCCCCCCGTGTGCACCTGCGGCACACAGCCATGTCTCGTTTGACCTCTGGTGACCCGCAGCCACACGCTCGGAGTGGATGTGCGTAAGCAAACGCTTAAATGCACTAGCAGATGAAGACTTTCTTTGTCGTAAAAACAACTTCATTTACGCCCTTACTTCTTCTGAACAAACATCTCCATGTTTATTTTTTAGTTTCTCCAGATAAAAACGGACGGTCTATCTCTGCTCAAGTTGGAGCTTATGAACCCTGAGATCCTTTCTGGAAACGAGTCCAAGAGTGACAGACAGAGTGGTTTTCGTACAACCATCTTCCCTTTTGCAACTTAGACCGGGCCGTTCGGGATGCGTCCAGGAGGGTGGAGCACGGCCTGCGGCCTTGCCTGACTTCCGTCCCAAAGACATCTACACCCAAGAGGGAAGACTCGGCCATTAACCAACCGCACTGACCGGCTGGCACTAAGGGCTGCTCCAAGGCAATGCTCCTTAGACAAGGCCGTGAGAACGACAGACACTCGGACAGAGCCCCTCGGGGCCACCACCAGATAGATGCGTGTGCTCACAGACCACTGCGTTTCTTCCACACCGCTG